ACTCTGTCTCAAAAAAAAAAAATTATTATAAAATATTTCTTATTCTTAATATTTTTTATTAAGAAATAATATTCGGCCGGGCGCGGTGGCTCAAGCCTGTAATCCCAGCACTTTGGGAGGCCAAGACGGGCGGACCACGAGGTCAGGAGATCGAGACCATCCTGGCTAACACGGTGAAACCCCGTCTCTACTAAAAATACAAAAAAATTAGCCGTGAGTAGTGGTGGGTGTCTGTAGTCCCAGCTACTCAGGAGGCTGAGGCAGGAGAATGGCGTGAACCCAGGAGGCAGAGCTTGCAGTGAGCCGAGATCGCGCCACCGCACTCCAGCCTGGGGGATTGAGCAAGACTCCGTCTCAAAAAAAAAAAAAAAAAAAAGGAGGTCCATCATTTGTAACAAATGTACCACTCTGCTGCTGGAGGATGTTCAAGAGAAATGTCACATAGGTGAGAAGTCTGATAAGTCCACTGGATTTCACAATTAGGTGGTTAACCATTACCAAACCGATTCACTGGAGTGTGAGTGGAAGCCTGATTATATAGGGTTGAAAAGAGGTTAGAAAATAAGCAGAAGGAAGCCAGAGGCCTACTTTAAATGTTCAGCGATAGAGCTGGAGTTGGATTCAACTGTGTAATCAATTTTCTTTTTCCGTTTTGTTTGTTTTTTTCAAGTGTTAGCTATTTCAGTGCTCCAGGTGCTCAGAGAAACTTCTCTATTAACAAACTATGGAAATGATCCCTGAAAGTATAGTCTTTTTGTGCTTTTCTTTCTTCCTTTCTTTCTTTTTTTTTTTTTTTGAGATAGGGTCTCACTCTCACCCAGGCTGCAGTGCAGTGGTGCTATCACGACTCACTGCAGCCTGAACCTCCTCGCTTGGGCTCAGGTGATCCTCCCGCCTCAACCTGCGTTTTTTTAGAGTCGGGGTTTAGCCATGTTGGTCAGGCTGGTCTGAAACTCCTGGGCTCAAGTGATCCACCAGCCTCAGCCTCCCAAAGTGCTGGGATTACAGACATGAGCCACCGCACCTGACTGAAAGCACAGTCTTTGTAATCCATGTTCTTACCCTACTAACCCTGTCTCTCCATCTCTCCTCTTCTCTCCAACTTACCCCTCTTATGCCCAGTCTGTTAGCTGTGTGTTGGCTTATTCCTTAAGTGGGATCTCTCCATGTGACAGGAAAGACTGGCCAGTAGCAGTTACATGTTTACACAGTCTTTGCAGACACTTCCAGATAAGGAAATAATTCTCTTCCCCAGTGTCCATATAGCAAATCTCTTCACAGGACAGATTATCTTCAGCCATTTCAGGCTTTCATGATGATCATAGCTGCGAGCCCCAGAGATTAAGAGACATGATACTCCTAGCATCTATATATAAAAATTTAGGGATCCTGTACCTGTTATTGGTAAAATCATATTTCCTTGATTTCTGATGAGGCTTTTTTTTTTTTGAGACAGAGTCTCGCTCTGTCACCCAGGCTGGAGTGGAGTGGCAGGATCTCGGCTCACCGCAACCTCCACATCCCAGGTTCACACCATTCTCCTGCCTGAGCCTCCCGAGTAGCTGGGATTACAGGCGCCTGCCACTGTGCCTGGCTAACTTTTT